CCTCGGGCGCCGCTGCGTCCAATCAGCCCCCCCCCTCCCCCCGTGCCCAATCGCAGGCCCAATCGGCCCAATCAATCCAATCAGCCCCCCCTCGAAGGCTGCTGTGTCCAATCAATCCAATCAGTCCGCCCTCCCCTCCTGCCCTCAAGTGTTCCGCACCTTCACTTCGGTCGTCTTGGCATCGGGCCGTCTCTTGGTACTGATGGCCATGGGCGGGCGGGGCGGAATATCTCACACCATGCGCCTAAAGCCTCGCATGGGCTGGTCGGACAACTACTCCGAGAGCTCCAAAGCTTGGGGGGGGGGGGCTAAGCCGACCTCTGAGGCGTGGGCTGCAGCAGTGAAGGCGATCGACGACGCTCAGGCTAAGCCATGAGACGCACATGGTGTCCCTACCATATAACCAGGCTGTTCGCCGAACATACAAGCACTCCGTGCTGCGTTAGTTAACGCACTTGGTTCTCGAGAGCGCGTTATGAGTCGTGAGGCCAATCTCGAGAAAAGCATGTCTGCTCCGCTTCGCTCAGCATGCAGTCGGGCCGTTCAGCGTCTGGGGCCGTTTCGGATGGAGCCGACGCGGGCTGCTAAGCTGCGCAGGCTGAATGAGTTCCGTCGTGCCAAGCCTCACTGCACAGCTTCTGCGTTGGCTGCAATTCTGGAGGACGTGAGACACAATGGGGTCCCAGAGGTCATAGATCGAAACTCTACGCGGGCCGCGAGAGATGCTGTTACCACAGCTGTCGGCCAATGCGGCCCTATTTTGCAATCCTTCACGTGTATTAATGCAGAGGAAGAGCCAGCTAGCATACCAATCGCCTGCCCGTTCGCATCCTTAGCGGCAGCTGTCGAAGAGAGCGCAACCTTTCGGAAATTCTTGAGGCGCCAGCTCATGCTTCACCCGCCGACGCCAGAACAGCCACGGAACTTGGTTTTGTATTCCGATGAAGTTACCCCAGGGAACCCCTTGTCACCCGCGGACCAAAGAAACTTCAAATCTATATATTGGAGCTTCTTGGAATTTGGCGTGAGCGCGCTCAGTCACGAAGAGAGCTGGTTTGCGCTGATGACTGAGTTCTCCAAATCAGTTTCTTCTCTCTCTGCTGGGTTAAGCCAAGCATTCGCTGAGGCTATCAAATGCTCTTTCAAGCCTGATGGCTTTCATTTCCAAGACGGTGGCATGGCCCTTGATCTGGACGGGGATAGCTTCAGGCTGTTTGCGAAAGTGGGCGTGGTGTTGCAAGACGGCGGCGCTCATAAAACTGCCTGGCAAGCAAGGGGCGACAGCGCGTCCAAGTTTTGTATGCTCTGCAAGAATATATTCACACCTGATTCAAAGGTTGTTGAAGAGGACGGTTCAGCCATGTTGCGCTGTAACCAAATACATCTCGATGAGCTTGTGGCGTCCACGGACCATGAGCTTCGCGCGAATGCCAGGTATCTGGAACGCATGTCGCGGACGTTGTCAAATGATGAGTTTGTGATGTTGCAGCAAGCGTTGGGTTTGACGTTTGCTAAGCGGGGCTTGCTGCTCGATAGAGCCTTGGACAGGCTGGTCAACCCGACAGAGGTGTTTATGCATGACTATATGCACGCGCTCTTCGTCGACGGTGTCGTGAATCTGGTGATTTACCTTACGTTCGAAGCCTTCATATCTGTTGGGCTCAACGGCGTGTGGGAGTCATTCTCGGAGTTCTTGGCACATTGGGCGTTCCCTGGGCGATTTCACGCTACGCATTTAGATAGCATTTTTAATGCTGATCGGAAAGACAAACATAGAAAGGCGCAACACGTAAAATGCCAGGCATCTGATGTATTGTCTATCCTTGGCGTGCTGATGCTGTTCTGTCAGACGGTCCTGCGACCCATGGGGGCAGCCAGTGCGGCTTGCGACGCTATGATTTCTTGCGTTCAGTTGTCGGAGCTGGTAGTTGCAACCAGTCGGATCGACGTGAGCCCAGCGAGGCTTTTAGGTTGTGTTCATAAGTTTTTAGAGTCGTTTACTGCTGCTTTCGGGTATGAGTGCTTGACGCCCAAATGCCACTGGCTTCTCCACCCCCCTGAGATACTTGAGAAAAACAGGCGGCTCTTAAATTGTTTTGTCCTTGAGAGGAAGCATAGAATGCCGAAGCGATACGCCACCGAATTGGCGAACATCTCTGGGTCAGCCAGCAAGTCGTTGCTGAGCGAGTGCGTTGCCCACCACCTTTCTGCAATAGCAAGCCATAGTTTTGATTACGACGTTGGCTTGGTGCAGGGACGCAAGGCCCCCAAGAAAAGCAGACAGCTGATCATGGACGCATTGGGATTGGAAGGCGATGATATCCCAGTCAACGTGGGCAAAGATTCTCGCTTCAGCCAGCTCGGCTTATGCACTCAAGGTGACGTTGTGCTTCTAAATGGCCCCGATGGCATACTGGCCGCCCGCGTGAAATTGCATTTCGAGGTCAGTGGAGAAGCTGTTTCTATGATGGAGGTGATGGAGTTTTCTCAACGCATCCGTGGTACTGCAAAGGCGGTGTGGAAACTGTCAGAGTCTCCAGTGCAATGTTGGGAGACTAAAGCCATCTTGGCTGCAGTAGAGCACTGCGTATACGCCGACGGCACCGTCGGCACCATCCTGCCATTAGAGTTTTCATGATAGGATTTGCTGGCACGTCGCGCCCAGAGGAGAAACCATTCGCATACGCTGCGCGTGCCGCCGCACAGCCCATCATCTCACGTTCAAGCCATTGCGGCTGAAGGCGACGAACAAGAGGAGGATGAGAAATGAGGAGGCTATGGGTCTTCCAGCTGCTCCGCTTCTCCTCCTCCTCCTCCTCCTCCTGCTTTTCCTCATGCCTGTCCTGCTCTTGCTGCTCCTTCCCTTCCTCCCGCCCCTCCTCCTGCTCCTCCGCCAGCTGTTTCCTCGTCCCCCCTCCTCCCCCATCCCTCCTCACGTTTAAAACGATCAAAGTGGCATGCCGAAACCGAGGCCGAAGGCGGCGTGGGCGGCGGCGCCGCGCCGAAGGCGTCGAAAACTGAAGTTCAGCTCATATCAAGTGGTGCAACCAATGTTGTGCTACATGCCGTGATGCAAACTATGTGGTGCAACCCACGTGGGGAAACCTATGTGGTGCAACCTGTGTGGGGAAACCTATGTGGGGAAACCTGTGGTGCAACGTATGTGGTGCCTCCTATTTTGCGCAACCTATGATGCATCCTACGTGGCGTGGTGCAGCGTATGTTTTGCAGCAGAAAATGGTAGTTTCATAGCTTGCATATCGCGACGGCTAAACGTTTATAGCGTTTATAAGTCCGTTGTTGGTAAACGTATGGTAAACTGTATAAATGCGCTAAGCTTTAGCTAAACCTCATAAACCTTAACAAACCCAGGATGCATCTCAGTACCCTCCCGGCCCACCCTCCCGGGCCACCCTCCCGGCCCACCCCCTCCAGGCCCACCCCCTCCCGGCCCACCCCCTCCCGGGCCACCCTCCCGGGCCACCCTCCAGGGCCACCCTCCCAGGCCCCACCCTTGAGATCCTACCGGGCCACCCTCCCGGGCCACCCTCCCGCGGGCCACCCTCCCAGGCCACACTCCGGGACCACCCTCCCGTGCCCACCCTATCCCGGGCCACCCTCCCGGGCCACCCTCCCGGGGCCACCCTCCCGGGCCACCCTCCCGGGCCCACCCTCCCGGGCCCACCCTCCCGGGCCACCCTCCCGGGCCCACCCTCCCGGGCCACCCTCCCGAGCCCACCCTCCCGAGCCACCCTCCCGGACCACCCTCCCGGCCCACCCTCCCGGGGGCACCCTCCCGGGCCACCCTCCCAGGCCAACCTCAGGCCTCTCGGGCCCCCCCTCAAGGACCCTCCACGGGCCACCCTCCGAGCCACCCCACCCCCTCGCGGGCCACCCTCCCGGGCCACCCTCCCGAGCCCACCCTCGGGCCACCCTCCCGGGCCACCCTCCCGGGCCACCCTCCCAGGCTACCCTCCCGAGCTACCCTCCCCGCCACCCTCCCGCGCCACCCTCCCGGGCCACCCTCCGGGCCACCCTCCCGGGCCAGCCTCCTGGCCACCCTCCCGGGCCACCTTAAGCCCGGGCCAACCCTCCCGGGCCCACCCTCCCGGGCCACCCTCCCGGGCCACCCTCCCGGGCCCACCCTCTGGTCCCGGGCCACCCCGGGCCACCCTCCCGGGCCACCCCCCCGGGCCACCCTCCCAGGCCACCCCCCGGGCCACCCTCCCGAGCCCACCCTCCCGGGCCACCCTCCCGGGCCCACCCTCCCGGGCGACCCTCCCAAGCACACCCTCCCGGGCACACCCTCCCGGGCACACCCTCGGGCCACCCTCCCGGGCCACCCTCCCCTCGTCGTCGTCGTCGTCGTCGTCGTCGTCGTCGTCGTCGTCGTCGTCGTCGTCGTCGTCGTCGTCGTCGTCGTCGTCGTCGTCGTCGGCAGCGGCCCTTGCGAGGGAGGCGGGGGCAGCACCGGATGCCCCAAACAGACGAAAAGCCGGAGGCCGAACCTCGAACCTGGAACCTGGAACCTCGGTCCTCCTCCCTCGACGGCGGCGGCGGCGACGACGGCGGCGGCGGCGTTTCGCGAGTTTCGGGGCCGAGCTGAGCTGAGGCCTCGTCAGAACGCTGAGCTGGGGCCCTCCTCCGGGGCTTCCGAGGCCCGCAACGGCCAGCTACGACGACGACGACGACGACGACGACGACGACGACGACGACGACGACGACGACGACGACGGCGACGACGACGACGGCGACGACGACGACGGCCCCGGCAGCGACGAAGGGCCCCCCGGTCCGGCCCCGGACCCCCCGGTCCGGACAGCTCGCTGTCCACCTCCTCCCCTTCCACCTCCTTTTCTTTAGCCTGGCGGCCTCTCGCGCAGCAAGCGGGCGTCGGGTCAGCCGGATCCAAATCGAATCGCGAACCGGATCGTCGCCCGCTCTGCACCGGATCGCAATCGAATCGCTCGGCAACCGAATGGATTCGCGAACCGGATCGTGGCAGGGGGCCTCCAGCATCGAATCGGCATTCGCGGCGATGCGATCTCCGAATCGAACCGACCCGGATCGAATCTCGTGCGGACCTCTGTTGCCGCCCAGGCGCAGCTCCTGCAGGCCGGGCAGGGAGGGCAGCGCCCCCGCCAGGGCCCGCGCGCCCTCGTCGCCGATGCTGTTGTCGTCCAGGTTCAGCTTCTGCAGGCCGGGCAGGGAGGGCAGCGCCCCCGCCAGGGCCCGCGCGCCCTCGTCGCCGATGCGGTTGTTGCCCAGGAACAGCTCCTGCAGGCCGGGCAGGGAGGGCCCGCGCGCCCCCGTCGGGAAATCGTAATCGCATCGCCTGGAACCGGATCGCTGCGAACCGCAGGCGAATCGAACCGGGAACCGGATCGCGACCTCGCCGAATCGAATCGCGGACCGGATCGCGACCCTGTCGAATCGAGTCGCTAACTGGGTCGCGCGAGTGGATCGCGGCCCCGGGATCCTCCCGGCGTGGGCACTCCCCTTCGTGGCCGTCCTCCCTCCATCCCTCCTCCCCCCTCTCTCCCTCCTCCTCCCTCCTCCTCCTCGGAGACCCTCCCGGGCCACCCTCCCGGGCCCCCCCCCGTCAGGGACCCTCCCGGGCGCCCCTCCCGGGCCCATCTCCCGGACCACCCCCCCGAGCCACCCTCCCGGGCCACCCTCCCGCGGTCGTGGCCGCCCGGGCCCCGCCCTCGGGGACCCTCCCGGGCTCCCCTGGGGGACCCTCTCGGGCCACCCTCCCGGGCCACCCTCCCGGGCCCCCCCTCTCCGTCGGAGACCCTCCCGGGCCACCCTCGGGCCATCCTCCCGAGCTGCCCTCGCGGGCCCCTCCCCGTCGGGGATTCTCCCGGGCCACTCTCCCGGGCCACCCTCCCGGGCCACCCTCCCGCGGGCCACCCTCCCGGGCCACGTGGACCTCCCCGGGCCACCCTCCCGGGCCACCCTCCCGGGCCACCCTCCCGGGCCCACCCTCCCGGACCACCCTCCCGGGCCACCCTCCCAGGCCATCCTCCCGGCCCACCCTCCCGGGCCACCCTCCCGGGCCCACCCTCCCGGGCCCACCCTCCCGGGCCACCCTCCCGGGCCACCCTCCCGGGCCCACCCTCCCGGGCCACCCTCCCGGGCTTATACCTTTCCGGGGCCCACCCGCGGGGACCCTCCCGGGCCACCCTCCCGGGCCACCCTCCCGGCCCACCCTCCCATGCAGGCCACCCTCCCGGGGCCACCCTCCCGCCGGGCCCACCCTCCCGGACCACCCTCCCGGGGCCACCCTCCCGCCGGGCCACCCTCCCGGGCCACCCTCCCGGGCCACCCTCCGGTCCACTCTCCCGGGCAGGCAACCCTCCCGAGCCCACCCTCCCGGGCCTACCCTCCCGGGAAACCCTCCCGGGCCCATTTTCCCGGGCCCACCCTCCCGGCCCACCCTCCCGGGCCCACCCTCCCGCGGGCCCACCCTCCCGGGCCCACCCTCCCGAGCCCACCCTCCCGGGCCCACCCTCCCGCGGGCCCACCCTCCCGGGCCCACCCTCCCGAGCCCACCCTCCTGGGCCCACCTTCCCGGGCCACCCTCCCAGGCCCACCCTCCCGGGCCACCTCCCCGAGCCCACCGGGCTTCCTCTCGGGTCACCCTCCCGGGCCACCCTCCCGGGCCACCCTCCCGGGCCCACCTTCCCGGGCCACCCTCCCGGGCCCACCCTCCCGGGCTCACCCTCCCGGGCCACCCTCCCGAGCGCAACCCTCGGGGACCCTCACGTGCCACCCTCCCGGGCCCACCCTCCCGGGCCACCCTCCCGGGCCACCCTCCCGGGCCACTCTCCCGAGCCAGCCTTTCAGGCTCCACCCTCGGGAACCACACCCTCCCGGGCTCATCCTCCCGGGCCACTCTCCCAGGCCACCCTCCCGGGCCCACCCTCCCGGGCCACCCTTCCGGGCTCACCCTCCCGGGCCACCCTCGGTGACCTTCCCAAGCCCTCACCTCGGGAACCCTCCCGAGCCCTTCCTCCTGGGCCCACCCTCCTGCGCCCTCACCTCGGGGCCCCTCCCGAACCACCCTCCCGGGCCACCCTCCCGGGCCACGTTCCCGGGCCACGTTCCCGGGCCACCCTCCCACCCTCCCGGGCCCGCACCCTCCGAGACCCTCCCGGGCCACCCTCCCGGGCCACCCTCTCGGGCCACCCTCCCGGGCCCACCCTCCCGGGCCACCCTCCCGGGCCACCTTCCCGGGCCCACCCTCCCGGGCCCACCCTCCCGGGCCCACCCTCCGGGGCCACCCACCTTGCCCCACCCTCCCGGGCCACCCTCCTGGGCCACCCTCCCGGGCTTCCTCTCGGGCCCACCCTACCGGGCCCACCCTCCCCGGGCCACCCTCCCGGGCCCCATCCTCCCGGGCCCACCCTCCCGGGCCCACCCTCCCAGGCCCACCCTCCCGGGGCCACCCTCCCGGGCCACCCTCCCGGGCCACCCTCCCGGGCCACCCTCCCGGGTCCACCCTCGGGCCACTCTCCCGGGCCACCCTCCCGTGCGCACCCTCCCGGGCCACCCTCGCGCATTTCGGGGCCGCTCGTCGCCGAGTCCTTGTCAGAACGCTGAACTGGGGGCCCCCTCCGGCAACGGCCAGCGACGACGACGACGACGACGACGACGACGACGACGACGACGACGACGACGACGACGACGACGACGACGGCCCCGGCGGCGACGAGGGCCCCCGGTCCGGCCCCGGACCCCCCCGGTCCGGACAGCTCGCTGTCCACCTCCTCCCATTCCACCTCCTTTTCTTTAGCCTGGCGGCCTCTCGCGCAGCAAGCGGGCGTCGGGTCAGCCGGATCCAAATCGAATCGCGAACCGGATCGTCGCCCGCCTTGCACCGGATCGCAATCGAATCGCTCGGCAACCGAATCGAATCGCGAACCCGATCGTGGCAGGGGGCCTCCAGCATCGAATCGGCACTCGCGGCGATGCGATTCGCCGAATCGAACCGACCCGGATCGAATCTCGTGGGGACCTCTGTTGCCGCCCAGGCGCAGCTCCTGCAGGCCGGGGAGGGAGGGCAGCACCCCCGCCAGGGCCCGCGCGCCCTCGGCGCCGATCTTGCATCTTGTCAGGTCTAGCTTCTGCAGGCGGGCGCACAGCCGCAGGCAGCTTGCGAGCCCCGCGGCCTGCTCGGGGGTCGGGGGTGGCATCCCGGTGAAGTCCAGCGTCGTCACGCCGCCCAACTGCGCGCGGCTCATCCGGCGGAAGAGCGCCTTCACCGCTTCCTTGTCCGCGCCGTTGGTGAAGGACCTGTCTTCGATGAGCCGGTCGAACTCGTCCGGGCCCACCGGCCACCTCCTCCCGGCCGCCAAGGCCCGCTCCCCCTGCCCCAGGTCGGCCACGGCGGTCCACTTTGCCTCCCAGCGCCAGACCTGCTTGATCTGCTCCGCGGAGCAGCGCTCGTACGTCGTCCAGCCGGACTGGTCGTAGCCCTCCTTGCGCGCGCTGCCCCGCTCGCGGGGGTGCTGGGTGAGCAGGAGCACGGTGGTGGCCTGGTGGGCGTACCAGAGGTCCATTGTCTCCTCCAGCCCGTGCTTGAAGGCGGCTTTCTCGGCGGGGGTCCGCTTGGCCTTGTCCGCGGCCTCCTGCGCGTCCTTCTCGGTCTTGCCCTGCCGCAGGGCGGCGGCCTTCGCCTCCTCGGCCTTGATCGGGTCGCCCTGCAGCAGCGAGGGCCAGTCCCAGAATATTCCCATCTCGCTGAACCCCTTGAAGTCACCTCGGGCTGTGGAGTACTTGCGGCGCTCCTCCTCTAGAGTGTCTATCACCAAGTTCAGCTGCACTCCATCGGGGTCGGGATGCTCGCGCGAATCCCAGCAGAACGAGATGGTGACGATCGGCGCCACCTGGTCTTTCCCTCCTCGCCCGCCGGCCTCCCAGACGGCCCGCAACTCGTCCGCGGACACGAAGGCCTTCTCCGGCAGCTCCTGGCGCCTCTTCAGGACGGTGCCGCGCTGCTGCAGCAACCACGTCATGCGGACCAAGCGCACGGGGTGGAGGTCATCCACGGTGAACGCGAGCGCGTCGAAGAGGCTCGCGGCGTCCGTGTACCGCGCCAAGTCGAACGACTCCTGCTCCTCATTCTTGGGGACCTCCTGCTCGTGCTGCTGGTCGACGGGCGCCGCCGGAGATTCGGGCAAGGCGTCGCTCTCCTGCGGGTCCTCGGGCACGGGCACCTCCGCGACGTCTGGCATGTGCGGGGGCGGCCCGCCGGCCTGCTGGTCCTCGGGCGCGAGGGCCTGGCGGGAGGCCATGCAGCAGCCCATCGTGTCGGCGCGGGGGGCCTGTTTACAGAGGCAAGAGGGGCGCTCGCGCTTGCTTCAAGACTTGCGTCCAGTCGTGGAAGCTTAAGCCACAATAAATGGCTACGGACGGGTGCTAGCATGCGTCTTGGTAAGAGACCTCGTGGGAGTCCTCGTGGGAGCCTGGAACTCTCTCTCTCTCTCTCGCTCTCTCTCTCTGTCTCGCTGCCTTGTCTTACTGAACATGATCGACCCACGAACCCGGCAAGGAATATAGACATGTAAGGCATTGCAACGCTTCAAAAAACACCTGATTGGGCGACGGGCAAGTGGATGCTGAATGTATCGATCTTGGTGTACCGTGCCGAGGGCTGTGCTGTGCTGCGCCGTGCTGAGTTGCGGTGTGCCATGCCGCGATTGTGCACTACAGTGCGGGCGCGGCCGCAAGAAACCCTCGCAAGAGACCCAACCCTGAGAAGCCGTGCGCGAGGTGCACCTGAGGGGAAACCTGGAGCACCGCAGCAGCTCTTTCAACGGCCGCGGGAAGTCAACGCGCAGCGCGCGGAGCAAAGAAACCCAGGATACCCTGACGAAAAGTAGATGGTTTCTTTATGCGCGCCCCCATTGTATAGCGTTGTGGATCGAGTCCTCATTTGCACCCGAGTCCTGACCGAACTGATCTGGATCTTAAGCTCGAGCTGCCTGAGCACAAAGTAGCTGCCCCAGAGCTAATTGACAGGTGGACATGCCAGGAGGACGCGACGCGGAACGTCCCAAGGGACGCGCCAGGCGACGTGCCAGGGGACGCGCCATGGGGACGCACCGCGGGACGTGCCAAGGGGACACGCTACGGAACGTGCCAATGGATGTGCCGCGGGATGGACGCGCCGCGCGACGTGCCAGGGGGACTCGCCACGGGGACGCGCCGCGCGACGTGCCACGGGGCATTGCAACCTGGCGCGTCCCTTGACGAGAAGGGAAGCGCCAGGTTGCAATGCTGAATGTATCGATCTCGATGTACCGTGCCGAAGGCTGTACTGTGCCTGGGCGACCTGGACACGTGAAAATGAGCGTTTCGCTCAAGACATTCTCGTCACATCCTCATGCTAAACATCCGCCTGGGCAACCTGGACACGTGCAAACAAGCGTCGCGCTCGAGACAGCCTCAACGAATCCTCACGCTAGACATCTGCCTGGGCAACCTGGAGGCGTGAAACCAAGTGTCTCGCTTGAGACATCCTCAAGACCTGGGCACGTGAAAACAAGCATTTCACTTGAGAGATCCTCTGAATTCTAGTCCCCAAGAGACGGAGAATCTAGAACACAAAACAAGCGTTTCGCTCGAGACATCCTCAACAACATTATGCAAAACAAGCGTTTCGCTCGGGACATCCTCACATTTAAATTAGCCGGCCCTCTTCGACCTCGTTGTTTATCGCAAAATAACTCGCTGGCCCTATTCGAACTTCGCACCGGGGGACAGATTGACTTACAAAAAGAAAACCCTGGGCTCGTGCCCTTTCCGGCAAACATGCGACACACACTCTGCCTCCAAATTCGGAGCATGCGCAGGAAAACCAAACGCGCCCTCCCCTACCATCCCTTTCAAAAAGCTATACAAAGTACACGTTGGAGCAAAGTCGGGAGTGTTTGTGAGGCCCGCGGGCATTTTGTATTGTTCCCAACCATCCTGTGGTGTTGGGTCCTCGTTTTGAAGAAACGGTCCCCGCGTCTCCTCTCCTCCTCCTCCTCCTCCTCCTCCTCCTCCTCCTCCTCCTCCTCCTCCTCCTCCTCCTCCTCCTCCTCCTCCTCCTCCTCCTCCTCCTCCTCCTCCCACCATCATCATCGTCATCACCCATTTCGGCCCACCCCTCACACGTTTCGTGGCCCCATAGGGAGCTCCACCGAAGGTCCCAGTGGGTGTGCCCGCATGCGCCCCGCACATCCATTTCGGCACACTCCTCACACGCTTCGTGGCCCCATAGGGAGCTCCACCGAAGGTCCCAGAGGGTGTGCCCGCATGCGCCCCGCACACATTTCGGCACACCCCTCACACGTTTCGTGGCCCCATAGGGAGCTCCACCGAAGGTCCCAGTGGGTGTGCCCGCATGCGTCCCGCACACCCATTTTGGTACACCCTTCACACGTTTCGTGGCCCCATAGGGAGCTCCACCGAAGGTTCCAGTGGGTGTGCCCGCATGCGTCCCGCACACCCATTTCGGCACACCCCTCACACGCTTCGTGGCCCCATAAGGAGCTCCACCGAAGATCTCAGTGGGTGTGCCCGCATGCGTCCCGCACACCCATTTCGGCCCACCCCTCACACGCTTCGTGGCCCCATAGGGAGCTCTACCGAAGGTCCCAGTGGGTGTGCCCGCATGCGTCCCGCACACTCATTTCGGCCCACCCCTCACACGTTTCGTGGCCCCATAAGGGGCTCCACCGAAGGTCCCAGTGGGTGTGCCCGCATGCGTCCCGCACACACACATTTCGGCGCACCCCTCACACGCTTCGTGGCCCCATAGAAAGCTCCACCGAAGGTCCCAGTGGGTGTGCCCGCATGCGTCCCGCACACCCATTTTCGGCACACCCCTCACACGTTTCGTGGCCCCATAGGGAGCTCCACCGAAGGTCCCAGTGGGTGTGCCCGCATGCGTCCCGCACACCCATTTCGGCACACCCCTCACACGTTTCGTGGCCCCATAGGGAGCTCTACCGAAGGTCTCAGTGGGTGTGCCCGCATGCGTCCCGCACACCAATTTCGGCCCACCCCTCACACGTTTCGTGGCCCCATAGGGAGCCCCACCGAAGGTCCCAGTGGGTGTGCCCGCATGCGTCCCGCACACCCTTTCGGTACACGCTTCACACGTTTCGTGTCCCCATAGGGAGCTCCACCGAAGGTCCCAGTGGGTGTGCCCGCATGCGTCCCGCACACCCATTTCGGCACATCCCTCACACGTTCCGCGGCCCCATAGGGAGCCCCACCGAAGGTCCCAGTGGGTGTGCCCGCATGCGTCCCGCACACCCATTTCGGCACATCCCTCACACGCTTCGTGGCCCCATAGGGAGCTCCACCGAAGGTTTCCGTGGCGCAGTCCGCTTGCGTCTCCCCCACCCAGTACACCTCCGCCGGAGGCCGTCGGAGTTCCGCGCCTCGCTCGCCCGTCGTCGCTCTGCCCAGCGGCAAGAGCCTTGCCCGCTATCAGCCAGCCAGCTAGCTCTTTTTGCTGCGCGCAGCGGACGACCCGCGCGCGTCGCTGGGACCCCTCCGGGGCGACCTGCGCCCGTCGCTGGGACTCCGCGCTGCGCTGCGCCCGCAGCTTTGGACTTTTGAGTGCGCGGGCAAAGAGGGAGTAAAAGAAGGGGACGAAGCGGGCGCGATCCTCGCGGTGGCGTCGCGGCGCGCGGGCGATGCCGCCGGGGAGCCCCGGGGAAGCTCCTTGCGGCGGCCACGCCCAGCGTCACGAGCACTCAGAGGCAGTCACTCACAAACCATTAGCATTCATATACAATTGCACCATGCATTGGCATACTCGCATTCATGCACGTAGACTCGCTCGCACGCAGATTCATTCACAGTCAGACGCACTCGCGCTCAGATTCACCCGCGCTCAGTCTCCCTACGTACTCAGATCAATCGTTTTCGTTCGCGTCGTGTACCACGCCACTCATTTCGGCACACCCCTAGCACGGTTCGCTGCCTCATAGGGATCACCACCGAAAAAGGGAATCACAATTGCGGTACTCACACCTGCATATGGTTGGGTCTTTCGTCAGGCTAATTTTTTGAAGGGGACGTCGGGGGTGTCAGCATATTCCCTGCTGAGCGCAGGGCTACCATCCCTGACGAAAAACCATACAACATGCACCTCGCGGCTATGTCTGGATCATGCGCGGCCACCCCGCGATCGCCGCCAAGTAGTTTTCGACAGGGACGCCGGGGGTGGTGGTGGCGCATGGCCTGCTGTGCGCAGGCCCACCAGACACAATGATGGGCTCTGGTTTTCGACAAGGATGGTGGGGCCGACATGCTTCCCGATGTGTGCAATCACGTGCGCGGGCAAACCTGACACATCCTGCGCGTGCCCCGAACCTGGCACACCTGGCGCGGCTGGAGTATGCGGCACACGCGGAGACACGTGGCGCATCAGGCGCACAAGGCGTGCCTGGCACGCTCGGGCCCCAGGGGTGCCTGGCGCGCGTGGCGCGCCTGGCACGCGTGGTGCACCGCGCCCCAACGTCGCGCACATGGGCTCGGTTCTGGCTCCCAGTAGCTGTCCATCCAAAGACGACCGCTGAACATGCTAAGGCTCGGGTGTTCCTAATCTGTTAAGAGAGGGAGTGGCAGTGAGCTAGACAGCTTGCTATCTGAGAGGGTAGCATGATCACTGTTCCCTATTAAAATGCACCCCCTTCCCCACCCGGCCGGCAGCCAACCACACCATCCCTGTCAACAAATCATTACAAAAGGCACTCTGCCTCCACATGTGGAGCACGCGCAGCCAACCCGTTGCGCCCCCCCCCCGCCACACCATCCCTTTCGCGGATCGAGTCCTCCTTTGTATCCGAGTCCTTGCCGAACTGATCTGAATCTTAAGCTCGAGCTGTCTGAGCACATAGCAGCTGCCCCAGAGCTAATTGACAGGGGGATATGCCAGGAGGACGCGCCGCGGAACGTCTCAAGGGACGCGCCAGGCGACGTGCCAGGGGACGCGCTATGGGGACGCACCGCGGGACGTGCCAAGGGGACGCTGCCAATGGACGCGCCACGGGATGTGCCAGGGGGACTCGCCAAGGGACGCCCAACGGAACGTGCCAAGGAACGTGCCAGGTTGCAATGCTGAGTGTATCGATCTTGATGTACCGTGCCGAGGGCTGTGCTGTGCTGCGCCGTGCTGAACTGCGATGTGCCATGCCGCGATTGTGCTATATTCCGTTGTGGATCGAGTCCTCCTTTGCGTCCGAATCCTGACCGAACTGATCTGGACTTTTAGCTCGAGCTGCCTGAGCACATAACTAGTAGCTGCCCCAGAGCTACTTGACATGGGGACATGCCAGGAGGACGCGCCGCGGAACGTCTCAAGGGACGCGCCAAGCGACGTGCCAGCGGAGCCATGGGGACGCA